TCCATTACTACTGAAATTATAATTGATCCAATTTATATACCTCTGTAAGTGTGTGGATTGTTTTGGCTATACCTCTGTAGGATAATTATGTGGTAGAATTTTGAAGTCTTAAATGTAATATCAGTTCTTTCCTGATCTTTGTTATATACACTATCCACTTAAGTTGATGATGCTGTTGAGCCTTTAATTGATATGGTTTTTGGTATTTGGTGAAGTTCTTTTTGATTCTGTAGTGATATTCCATGAGATTTGATGAAGGGTCAACCAACTAGGTTTATTTGCTTGAATGCATTTTCAATCATTGCTCTAGAAAAGTGGTTTCACATAACTGCTACTTGAGACATATCTGAATGAGTTGGATGCCATGCATGACATCCATATGAGAGTCTTGATCTGATGAGGCTATTTAACAATACAACTTGAATTGGTTCTATAGAGATGATAGTTTAGACATCTCTGAATGAATTGGATGCCATGCATGACATCCATATGAGAGTCTTGATCTGATGAGGCTATTTAAGAATGCAACTTGGTTCTATAGAGATGATAGTTTAGACGTCTCTGAATTGGATGCCATGCATGACATCAATATGAGAGTCTTGATCTGATGAGGCTATTTAAGAACATAACAATTTAGGTTAATGTTTTGGTTTTGTAGTGTCTTATGGTCTTGGACAAAATTAATAAATAATTCAACTCAAGCCATAAAAATAAGTTGTATGTAGTTTCTATTTAAGTTGTATTGGGAATATTATAGATTTTAAAAAAAATTTATTTTAGATAGAATGTGGCAAACAAAACCTTGAAGTCTAATATTTATATATATTTTTTTTTCTAATACCATTCAGATTTGAATACTTGGTAATAAAATATAGAAACTTTGTATATTTTCCACTTGATCATTTGGCATAATTTCTAATGAAATTATCTATTTGTTTTTCTTTACTATAAAATTAAGTTTTAAGTAAAAAAGCAAAACAACAAGCCATTCAGATGAGACTTTTTTGTACAGAATATCAAGTAGGGACATAATTTAAACATTTATGATTTATATATTAAAATCACATAATTTTTTTTTTTTCTATTTTAACTTTGTTTAAAATAATTTTCTTGTAGAATTCTTGATTGCATTCAATCCTGATGTCTATCAGCCTCATGTGAAACATGCCAACCCTGAGGTAAGAAAGTTTTTTTTTTTCTTTTTTAAAAAATGAAACTATTTGTAGCCAAATTTTTCATATATTTTAAGTAGTCATTAAAAGGAAACTTACTTGTGAAAAATGAAATCTTGTACACTTATTTTATGCAAATGTTGCCTTATGCAAAAATTAAAGTTAATTTATTCTAAGTGTTGAATTTTTTTTTTTTTTTTAATTTCACCTCAAGCAAGAGCATGAAACTACTAAGAAGCAAAGGGCTAATGAGAGAAAAAAATACGCTAAGGATAGTAACAATAAAAGAACAGTAATTAAAGCAGAAGCTAACAATTGACATTGCATTTAAATTTTTGGAGATTAAAGTTGGCTGGAAAAGCAAGAAACCAGAATAGTTCCACAAGCAAGAAGTGCGGGAAAAGAAACTGTTAACATAGAACTTGGTTGCGTCTAATCATTTCAAGTTTAAAATTGTGCAGTCTTGCCTCTAATCTAGTACTGTACTTACATTTATAAGTCTAGGTATCAGTATAGAAAATGAGTCTTTCCTAACAAGCATTTGGTTGCAAAGGAACAAACAAGGATTAAATTTTCAACAGTGTGTATTCATTAAATACACCTAATATATGCATAGGTGTTTGAAATTTGTAAAACAATTGTTAATGTTGTTCAGTTGCTGTTGGTCAGGAAAGCAATTAGGTGTAAGTAGGGTCAGGAGTTGACCAATTTCTTGAGTTGGTTGGCCAAAGTCACAGTTGGTTTCTGAGTATAGGTCTAGAATGGCTTACCTTCTGGTGGGGTTTGTCACATGCCTTTCTTAAAGTTTGAAACCTGTACCTAGTAAGCTATGTTGGTTGATCATAATGTCTCTGGATTCTGGTCAAATGTAGTACCAATGAGATAGGGCCATGGTGGTGATGGTAAGGAGGCCTGGAGTAGATAGGTAAGGCGTTGAAGGGTGGTGACAGTGAATGGCAATCATAGCAGTAATGGTGCTGACAGGTTTCCTTTTGGACCACAAGTGTTGTTACAAGGGGCTTTCTTTTAAGTAAATCTGATAGTCCCCAGGGTCATATTGTGTGTTGTGTGTTTTTGTTTGTTTTTTATCCCTGCCAGGAATGTTCACAATAGGCTATTGTATTATTTTTGTGGACCAGATGTGATGCACAGATCCTATGCGCAGGAAACCAACTATTTTATTTTGTCTTGCTTTCTTGGCACTCACATCCAGCCGACATCTGGGAAACAAGAGCAATCAATTCAGCTGACATGTAGTGTGAATCAGATCTAATTCCAGTCTAATTGAAGTCTAATATTCTAAAATAATCTGCTTTTGTTGGGATTCAATAAGCTAGTTTTTTCTTACCACTTTTTCTTCTGTTGCATGCACTATTCCTAATTTGGGTAAAAGCAATGTCAACAATATTTTGCATTTGTAAATGACTGGTGTAAGGAAATGGAAGACTATTTTAGCAAGGTGACATTATATATATATATATATATATATATATATATATATATACACACACACAAAGTAATAAATCCATTGGTATATAATCCAATTGGATCATAGTAATATAAAATATTAAAACTGATCCACAAAAAGAGCTCATTGTATTTATAACAGCCCAGAAATTAATACACAAAATCCAAGATCACCTCATATGGGAATAAGCTTATTTCAACTGATAAAAAAAACAAATTCATCAGTTTTATTAAACTCTGGTAAAGACTGAGTTCGTGTTGGAATTTCAACATGAACTCAGTCTATACTGGGGTTGAATAAAACTGATAAATTTTATTTTTTCTTAGGTTAAAATTAGCTTATTTCCCATATGAGCTGATTTGGGACTTTAATGTGTTTGTTTATATATATATATATATATATATATATATATATATATATAATTACTAGTATACAAACAAAAAGAATATATTGAAAGTTATGAATTGTGTTGATGATGAGTGTAAGTGAAATTTGTCGTTAAGGGGAAAGATGCCCTCATGCCTGGGAAGGTCCCAGTTGGCATAGCCCCTGACGCATGCTGGGAGGGGAAAAAGAATAGATAGTCCCTCTCTCTCTCTCTTTACCTCTCTCTCTCTCTCTCTCTCTCTCTCTACCATGCCTTCTAATGACATCTTGTTGAAAACCATGTGGGGATAGCCTACAATTTAGTAAATTTAAATGCAAATGACAGAAGGTAAAGATTTTTTTTATACATATGTTTCTTCTTCTTTTCAGAGTGAACAATTTAAGAAGGAGAAGCAATTGGTGAAAGATGCAGCAGAATTCCTTGTACTACACCAAATACCCACATTTGTAAGTCTTTTATTACAAAATACATAATTATTTCTTTGTTCAAATACTAGATAGTTCATATTAAACATTTTGTAGTTAGTAAAATATGCATTAAGCATGCAGAAAGCCTAGATTAAAATAATTTGGCCATGGATTTCAAGAAAGAAATATTCTGACAGATGTTTTTTACAATTTTCGTTTTGAGCAAGATTAACAAACTACAGCAACATTTTAAGATTGAAAATTTATTTTAAATAGATTATATTTATGTCTATATCTCTGAGATGAGGTATTATGATTACTTGCATTATTTACATTATTCAGGCTGTTATCCTCATCTTCATTGACATATTCACAACGTTTTGGCTGTTGTGAGTATGGCAATGAAGATGAGGATAACAGTACAAATAATGTAAATAATGCAAGATTACATTTCTTCAAATTTTAATACAGTGTTTGAACAATGATTATTTTTTTCTTTATTCTCATAAATATATTTTTTATTCTTTGTGATTGCTGAGTTTATCTGATATAAGCTTCACATTGCTAGGTTCAGTGTGTATATATTTCATTTGAGCACTGTTGAATGACAAGCTAATTCTACAAACAGCCACCTGCATTAATGCAAAGCTCTTCAGTAAAAGGAATGGAGTACTCCAGCTGATTGACATTTGTTCACATTTGTAAAAACAAATTGCTAATTTTAGCTGCCTCATTCTGTCAAATGAAGATAGCTCAGTGGTAGAAACTCTGACTGATACCAAATCTGTTGGGTTTCAATCCTGGCTTAAGGTATTCAGTTGTCTAGTCGCACTGAAGAGCTGAGATACAGCAAAACGGTACTGTCTGTGAATCACACACACATATATATATATATATATATATATATATATATATATATAATATTCTTCTTTTCACCCAATACAAGAACCACACAAAGTAGATGTATACTGAGCAAGATTGTTGTAAGGGAGGAGGAAAGAGTATAAGAAGTGTATATTATGAGGACATGTAGGGTAGATATCATTTAACCCGGGGGCCCAGATTGTGTTTGTCAGGGAAGCATCTTCTCAAGAGTCTGTTCCACAGAGCAACAGTTCTGGGCAAGATGAAAATAATTCATTGCCCACAATGGCCATGTAATCACTCTTGAACTCTGTTGACACTGGATAGTGAAGACTGTGCAACACCAGCCCAGATATGGAAGCAATACCCCATTCTAGGTGTGATCTGACAGCATGGCAGCAAGAGTTAGATATTTTCTGGAGTAATTCAAGGCACCAACCATTATTCAAGCATCTTTTGCAATGGCATGAATATATGCACTTCTTTTGTGGTAATGCATGTGCTTCTCAGGTGATCTGTTGCAGAGTTTTGGCTTTAATATGCCTGATTCATGAAAGATCTCTCCTGTGTGTGATTGATTTGTCAAGTTCACTTTACCATATTTTGAATTCATAGTATTAATTTCAGTTTTCAGTTGCAGACCATTTCCAAAAAACTAGTTTATTCTATTAAAACAAATCCATCTAGACATATTTGCCTGAGTAGTTACTTTTCCTCTGAATTTTGACTACATTAATTTTGCTTGTTATATTTTTACTTATCTCCTTACATATTCTCTGAAATAAACATTTTTATTTAAATTTCATTTTTTTTTAAAATGCCACGTGGCTCTCTTTAGATTCTTTTTCATTATGTATGAATGGGAAAAGATAGTGGAGTAGTTTTTTGTTTCTTTCTCTGAGCCTGGCTACCATCCAAAATTAAGAGTGCCCAGTCTACCCAGCTATTTAACCCATAGCTGGAGAGATGAATTCATATTTTCTCCAAGGGCATTTGTTTGAAAATGAACATAACAGACAAAGCCAGAATTTGAACTTGGTTTACCAATTCCACTTTCCATGCTGCTTACACATTATTAATGAAGTGGAAATTAAAAATTAAATGATCTGATAGATTTCACACTAGTATATCAAATTATATAATTTAAGAATCATTAATGTGGTTTCTTTTCAACTTAAAAAAAAAAATAAAATAACAGGGCTCTTGGAACTCTGGGAAAACTGGTAAACCTGGTATTATCAGAGCGTTTGTTCCTGAAGGCTATAATTTATTTGCAATAACTTGTTTTGTTTTATGGATTATTAAATTTGTGCATTTTATTCTTTATTTGTAATTAATGTTTTAACTTTTTAAAAAAATCTTGTGCATGTATAATGAACACAGATGGTTTTTCAGATACAGTTAAGTCGGTCGAGTCATTCAAATAGTTTGCTGTTATATTTGTGTACTGCTGTAATAAAAATTGGGAGAGATAAATTTATTAATATCTTGAACAAATTTTCATGTGAACCAAGCTCTCAATGCTCTGGAAAACCTAAACCCATGATTAGCAAGCAACTTTGTCTGGAGCCACAATTTATTTGCAATAAATTGTTTTGTTTCATGAATTATTAAATTTCTGTTTTATTCATCAATTTTCAAGCTACACTTTTATCAGGTTATTTATAAAAGTAAAGTTTATACATAAAATAATCTACTATAATTAATCTTTATCACTTTGTATATAACTTCATTTGCTGTTCAAAAAGTTTATCCTACCTCTGAATCTGAATTTGTTTGAATTTTCTAGTTGTGTTGTCATACCCTGCTATGGTTAAGTGCTGAAATGAAAATCATTGTTTTTTTTTTTTTTTTTTTTTACACTACTTAACCTTTAGCACTCTGCTCAAAGGTGTTTTCTGTTGCCCTAGCAGGATATGACAGCACAACTATGAAATTCAAACAAATTCAAATTCAATAATCAGTGTAAACTTTTTGCGCCACAAATGAAGTCACATACAGAGTGATAAAGATTTAAGATGTACCATTAAATCAAAATTCAAAGATAAGTTTAAATTGAAAATGGAAAAATTTTTGTATGAAAAGTCAAAATTCATAAGCAAGCTATCTAGGTGCTTTAAGAAAAAAATCTGTTGATACAAAGTGAGATTTACAATTAAGTGGCATTAATCTTTTTTAAAATTCTGAATTCTCTTTTATAAAAAACTGCAACATCTTAGCCTGACCCACTCTCATATACCCAACCAATTTATTTTGGTAACAGTTTCTTTCCTGGTAACATTTCAATACCCCCTCATTGTTAATTTAATATTTGTTTCAGGCTTACCCAGGCAAAAATATAAAATAAACAGGCCAATTTTTCTAGGATAATTGGTATTTGAAGTGACTCAGCTATGAAATTAATTCATTAGTATATAAAATACCCTCTGCCAATCCTATCCCCCACCCCATGCCATTTGATAAAAAAAATCACCTAATATTTTTCATCAGAAGCTCATAGATAGCATTCACAAGAAATAATAATCATCTGTATAATAAAGAAAACATCCTTTAGAGATAAAGGAATCTATAAACAAATTAACAAATATGTATTGTAAGAAGAGTTCTCAAACCTAATATCTGCAAATCAAATAATGATAATAGCAAAGCAAAATTGAAACTTCAGCAGATATCAAACTTCCCAGCATTTTCAAAGATAAAATTATACTCATTCTAAGTTGGATTACCTATCAGATAGTTGGAAGTTAAGATTTGCTATTTTCAATACTGAACATCTAAATCTCTTCAATAGATAATAGTGATCATAAAAATCATATATAGTTCTTATGAAGTGTGATTCTCAATCTGAGAAAACAATAGTCCTTAAGCTAAAGTGTATACTGTTTATGGACCTATGTTCAAAACTTATATTCAGATCGGTGAACCCTTACACTCTTGTTAAATTGGTTTACTAATAAGGTGGTTGGAAGTTAAGATTTTCTATTTTCAGTTTGAGAAAAGTAAGTTTTATGTATACTTTAGTACTTCTGTATATTCTGTTTCATTAATTAGAATTTTTAAAAAATTTTAATTTCAGGTTAATGACTGTTTAGACCACAATTCTTTCGTGATTGATGGCCAATCTTTGACTGATGCAATGCATGTTCGGTAAATAATTTTATAAGTTTTAATAGATCTTGAATAAAATGGACAATTCTTTTTTTTTTCTCCATAAAGAAATTTGGCTAAAACTTTTTCTAAATGCAAATCTTGGTAGCAGTAAAATAAACAAAGTAAAGAATTAGATTTTACTGATTGCCAGAATATAGCATTTTCTTATGTTTTGACTTTAGAAGTACTAATCTTTTGATTACTTATGTAGTAAAATTAGAACTTAAACTAAAAAAAATATTTTATTGTTAAACTTGTAAAAAAAACATTTGTGCACTACTTAAATAGACTGGTCCCCTCAAAAAAAAAAATCTCAGGGAATAATGCATTCTTGGCAGAATTGAAAATTTTTTTATATATATATATTTTTTTTAATTGATTTAAAGGAGCATGGTCCTGTTCATATTATCAATATAGTGTTAAATCAGTCCCTTACTTTTACTGAGTTATCTGCACTTAAATTTTATTTACAAATGTTTTGCCTTGAAAATCTGCTTACAACACTGATATCTGCATATTTTCTATACTTTTAATTTATGTAATTTTTTTATCAAATGTGTTTGACAATTATTTTTTTTAATCTACTTTGATAAACAATTACTTGTTTAAAATGTTTTCCTAAAATAAACAAAAATATGTATCTACTTGCTCTTTGTTTTTAAGATATTTTTGTAAAATAGTTTGTTTTTTTTATTTTTTATACAAACAGTATACATTTTGATCGACTTAGTCCACTGCTGATATCCTGTCATCACTCACTGAATCAGGGAGACATTAGACAATAAATACATCTCTAGGATGATTGCATTAGATATATAGAAGACTTTTGATGAGGTGTAGCATAGAGTTGCTACACAAACACTTCAGCTATGGAATCACTGGAAAAGTCTTTTCTATTATAAAGTCCTTCTTTTTTGAGGCTATAATCAACAAAGAAATTGTTGAGCATCTAGAACAACCTCTTGAGCAACAAGCACTACAGATTTTGATCGGCCCAATCCACTGTTTATGTCCTAACTACCATCACTCACAGAATTAGTAAGGCAATAATTACACCTCAAGGACCATAGCATTAGATATTTCAAAGGCATTTGACAAGGTGTGGTGCAAAGGATTGCTGCTCAAGCTCTCCAGTTATGGAATCACTGGAAGAGTCTTCTCTATTATAAAGTCACTCCTAATGGATAATTCCAGGAAGGTAGTTGTTAATGGCCAGTCCTCCATGGCCTATGATCTGTGTAAGAGTATGCTACAATCTTTTGTGGATCTCTATGCAGAGAATACAATGGTATATGGAGGTCACTGACAAAATTCTAGATGACCAGAGCCTGGCAGCTGATTTCTCCTCTGATCTAGCTCTAGCAGCTCAGCAGTGGCGGGGTTGGGAGGTTGACTTGGCTGATCACAGTAAATAATTTAAAAAAGCAAAGTAATCATTGAGCAGGCCCTGAATTTTATATCTATTGCAATGAATGGGTGTTCTCAAGAAAACCTCTTGCCTTGTGTACACCAGTTAGGACTTAAGCTTGTCCAGACTTTGAGTGGAACTTCTATATACAATCCATTGTTAAAGATGCTGAAGAAAATGGTCAGTTCCCTGTATCATTCCATTAAGTACCTGGCTCTTCTCGATCCTCTACCTTTTACAAGAGCTAGATCAAGCCCAAAATGGAGTACTGCTTGTCATATCAAGGATGGAGCTACCCAGTTTTCACTTTATAGTTTGGATAGTTCAAAAGTGTCTAAATGGCTTTATGGGTGATGAGTTACTTTCCACTCTACAACCACTTTCCCCACAAATGAAACATTTCAAGCCTATTATTACTCTATTGTTATTTCCGTGGCAAATGTTCTGATGAGCTACACTCATTAGTTCCATTACTTCTGATCCTCACAGCTCAGACCCAGCATTCCTTATACACTGTAGTGAACCTCTGATTTGCTACATATTCCATTAGTAAGAAGTTCCCCTCAAACAATTTCTTCCCATGAACTGCTATCTTGTGGAATTGATGCCTCAAAGAATGCTTCCCCTGACTACTTGTCAACCTGTTCAAGTTTAGGGTTAACCATTCTTTTTCACATATCCTCATAAATTACACATTTTATTTAATTTTATTGCTCACACAGAGGGTTACTAAAGCAGTTTGTGGCTCTTGGACCCTTGTGTAGGGGTGAACATCAGTTAAAATAATAAAACATTTACATTGTTCGAACTGCTATCCTCATTTTCATTGCCATATTCACAACATTTCAGCCGTTGTATGCTCCAGCCTTCTTCAGGTGATTGGAATTTCAAACCAAACTCTTTATTTCATCCACCAGGGTAGATTGTTCTAGTTCCACGTTCGATACCGCTTCTGGATGTCTCCATTATTTCTCTTTAACTCCACTCTCTAAGTTTTTGGTTCACCACTGCTGTAGCCTGGTATTGAACTCACAAGTCATTCAGTCTAGTTACTGAAAAGGTGTTGGTTAGAATAATGTAAGTAATTATAATACGTCATTTCGGAGATATAGACAGAAAACAAAGCCTTTCAAGACATGAATAAAACCTAAATGCAGATAACTTTGTAAAAGTCAAAGACTGATTTGGTACAGTCTTACTATGAACGTGACCCTCCTAAAATAAGAAATCAAAATTTTTTTTGTTCTGACAAGTGTTGCAGCCTAAAGAAAGTCTAAAGAATTCTAATCTATAAAAATGATTTCCTGACCCCTTTTTCTTTTACTTCTTCTTCTTTTACTTCTTCTTCTTCTTCTTCTTCTTTTACTTCTTCTTCTTCTTCTTTTACTTCTTCTTCTTTTCTTCTTCTTCTTCTTTCTTCTTCTTTTTACTTCTTCTTCTTTTTTCTTCTTCTTCTTTTTTCTTCTTCTTTTTCTTCTTTTTCTTTCTTCTTCTTTTCTTCTTTTTCTTCTTCTACTTTCTTCTTCTTCTTTTTTACTTCTTTTCTTCTTCTTCTGGAATTTTTCTTCTTCTTCTTTCTTTTTCTTTTTATTCTTTTTCTTCTTCTTCTTCTTAAACTTCTTCTTCTTCTTCTTTCTTTTTTTCTTCTTCTTTTCTTCTTCTTCTTCTTCTTCTTCTTTCTCTTTTCTTCTTCTTCTTCATTTCCTTCTTTTACTTCTCTTTTGCAATTCTTCTTTTGAAACTTCTTTTAATTCTTCTTCTTCTTCTTCTTTTAGCTTCTTCTTCTTCTTCTTTTTCTTCTTCTTCTTTTACTTCTTCTTTTCTTCTTTTCTTCTTCTTCTTAACTTCTTCTTCTTCTTTTACTTTCTTCTTCTTCTTTCTTCTTCTTTTTCTTCTTTTTGACTTCTTCTTTTTCTTTTACTTCTTCTTCTTAACTTCTTCTTCTTCTTCTTCTTTTCTTCTTCTTCTTTTCTTCTTTTTTTTTTCTTCTTTTACTTCTTCTTCTTTTACTTTCTTCTTTTCTTCTTTTTTTCTTCTTCTTCTTCTTTTTTCTTCTCAACCTTTTCTTTTACTTCTTTGACCTTTTTATTTAAGTTTTCTTTTCCTTCTGACACAATTTTTGCTTCTTCCCTTTAATTTCTGGTTTGTTATATTTAAATTATCATTTAAAAACCTGTATCTGTCTTATAATAATTTTCATAAGAAATTTTTTGATCCCACTAAAATTATGAATTTCAAATGCTCACCTGAAAAATGTAAAATTTTTCTTTTAATTTCAGGGGAATAAATATTCGATACTTGGGTTTTGTAGCTGACACATTTTCTAAATATCCACAGATTTCTTATCTTTATGTAAGTATTTAAAGAAATTACATCTTTTCACTTATTCATCTATATTTGATTATCTTACAGAAGTTTTGTTTTTTCTTTCAAGTAGTATTTCATTTTTTAATTTTTATTGCAACTTAACATACTTTTTAAAAAGGTATATTAAAACAAAGTATTTAAAATTACATAATCAAATAATAGTGAAAAGAATTATTTGAGAAGTTTTCCACTTATTCATTTATTAAATACTATTGCTATACCATTACTACTTCCATACATATACACACGCACACACATTCCAGTAGTGAGTGCAACAGGTGGGAGGTTTTTTAGTTCTTATTTAATTTTTATTTTTGAGGAAATTTCCTGCACTCCTCAACCAATGCTTTTTATGACCATATCATTTAATTTTACACTTTATTCCAGTGATCAAATAGGAAATGGCAATTATTATAGTTCAAATTTTTACTTGTACACTTTCAAGACACATTTTAAGATTCTATTCTATTGCATTGTTTTAAATTTCTGATGAGTAATCAGTGATAAACTCAAATTAGTATCAAGTACATACTAGCTAAAAAAAAAAAAAGAAATAACAATATTAAGTTGATTAACACTTCTAATGCATGTAACTAAAAAGATACATGGCCTCTGTGGCCTAATCAATAAAGCAGCTGTCCTGCTAAAACAGGTTTTCCAAGAAAAAGGGATGAAAACATTTCTCTACTGCATACTGAACTGCAGTATAGCTAGACAAAACAAAAATAGTCACTGAAGTGTAGATGGAATTCTTTTTTTAAATTAAAGTTAAGCAATGTTGAGCTTTGTCATTACCTAGATGGGTGACCACTTGGGAATACCAGGTGATGTAAACTTGGATGTGTGGGTGGTGTAATGGATAATGGCTCAGAATTGTTAATCAGAGAGCTGAGTTCAATTCCAGTCTGGTTTGTTATATTCATTTATGTACTCTTGGGAAAAGTATGAATCCATTTCTTTTCTCCACCCAGCTATAAGTAAATAGCAGGGCAGAACAGGTACTATAGCCTTGGTTGGCAACTAGTCTAGGAGAAGGGAAACTGAATTAAAATCAGCCTGGAAAGTGTCGAGCTCTATTTTAGACAAGCTGGCCTGATATAATACTGTTGCAGGACGTGTGATGCCCCCTACACCCCTTAGTGTTATGGGACTCATAGTGATGTTTTCATGAATATGTTTAGTTTTTGATATTAACAATTTTTATTACAGACAATAGCTGTGACGGAACTTGTATGCTTAGCAGCCAAACACAGTTACAAAACCTACATGGAAGGTGTAGCACAGATGCATCTAACATCTGCCATCAGCCATTTTATGAATTGCTTTTTGGGATCTTATCACTCTCCGAGTGCTCAGGTTGCTATTGAAGATGTAAGTAAAACATTTATGTTACATGTATGTATGGACTGCAGGTAGACTTTGATATGATGCATGTGTTTTTTTTTTTTTTTTTTTAACTTCACACACACCTGATCTTTTGAACAGGAGTAGGGGTTCATTCCTTGTTTCCTGTTTAGAATTGGATTTCCAGTTCCTTCTAAAGTCTACTCCAACTCTATACTTCTAACATCTCCTCTTAAAACCCTGAACTTTTATTTACTATTGAATTACTTTTTTTTTTTTTTTTTTTTTTTTATCAATAGGAGTAGATAGGTTCACAATCCTCTCCAGTCTTTTGAACAGGAGCAGAGGTTTATCCCTTGTTTCTTGTTTAGGATTGGATTTCCAATTCCTTCTAAATTCTATTCCAACTCTATACTTCTAATGTCTCTTTCTAAACCAGTCTTTCTCAACCTTTTTAAGCAACAACCCACCTAGAAACAAATGCAAATATCACAGCACTCTTAGCAAAATTTTTAAAGGGGAGACATTTAAATGTTATGAAATAAAACCATAAATTTTTAATTATTCAAAGAATGATGAATACAATTATATGCAAAAAAGGTTAATATTCATTTATTCAAATAAAGGAAAATTTAAATACTTTTCAAAAATGAATATTAAAACAAAGTTATTTAAAATTACATAATTGAATAATAGTGAAAAAAATTATTTGAGAAAAGTTTTCTACTTATTCATTTATTAAATACTATTGCTATACCATTACTTTTTCCATACATGCACATGTGTGTGTGTGTGTATATATATATATATATATATATATATATATATATATATATATATATATTTTATGAATAAAATGACAATAGGAAAACTAGTAATTGTTGATGTGTTTCAATGGTCCAATGTGGACTTTATCAAAGCAAAATACGAAATGAATTTAATTGAACAAGGTAACTAATAAAAACAAAAAAAAGCAGAATGTTCCTAGCAACTGGAATGTAGAGAACATTATTTTCATATTGGAATATAAATGCGTCAGCAATTACTAGTTTTCCTATTGTCATTTTTATTCATAAATATTGGCTTCTCTACTGGTTAAATCAGAAATATATATATATATATATATATATATATATATTTTTATATATTTTTTTTTTTTTTTTTTTTTTTTCTTTTCTTTTCCTCTCTTTTTTCTTTTCTTTTCCTCTCCCTCTTCTTCTGATCTTTAAGTTTAGATCGTCTATTGTGTGTGTATGTCACAACGAAATATATCCTTTCCGGTTACATCTTTAATGTATTAGACATCCAACATTTATATTTCTCTCACTTCTTAAACCTTTTCAACTCACCTCTCTAAAACTTCTCTCTGTTAAGGTTTAATCTCCCACCTTCTCCCGTCTGTTACCCCTCTCTTTAGCTCTAACATTCGTCCCACACTCTCATACTTACACTCTCTCTAAATTCTATTTTTATTTCTGGAGTTGTTTTTTTCTGTTTTCTTTTTTGAATTTGTAGGTCTGATGAATTGGATCGTATTTACGATTCCAATAGAATAAATTATGACATGGAATATTAGTGTTTAAGCCTTTTTTATATATATATATATATATATATATATATATATATATATATATATATATATATATATGCCCTGACAATATTATGAGAATCACTAACCTAAACTCTGAAATTTTATGCTATTATTGGGTCTCTCATTCATTCTAAAGTCTTTTTCTTCTTTCACTTCCAGTAACCCCCTGATGCCTTAGTACTATTACCTTGCTCAGGGTGATTTGATTTAAAAAAAAAAAAAAAAAAAAAACCATTCATAGCATAATTTTTAAGCTAATTAGTACCTCTTTTGTATTAACAATATGAATTGCCTAATTTTAAGATTTTTTTTTTTTTTTTTTTTTTTTTTTTTAGCTTCAAAGAAACTCCAAGAAGCGAAACAAAAGAAAAAACAAAGGAATTCTTTATGTCCCTGGTATGTCTTTAATGTGACTTTTAAATGACAAAATTCAGTCCTTGATAATATTCATTACAATTGATATATTAATAGCTGCCTAAACAAACCTGATTTTTTTTTTTTTTTTTTTTTTTTTTTTTTTTTTTTAATAATTTAGAGCTATGTTTTCTGTTTAACTATTTTTGGCTGTATGTTTCTTGACAAAATGTTTCTACATCTGTTGTATATAATAGATATTGTTAAACACTTATAAAAATATAACTTTTTCAAATGCAAAACTTAAAGTTAATTCAAGGACAGTGGAAAAGCTTTGAATCCTGAAATTTTAAGAATATTCCACATATTCTTCCTATTTTTCAAGATTTTCTGAATTCTTTGTTTTGAAATTTCAAATTGTTATGGCCATATAATGTTGAAATATTGGTTCCCATATGATCACTAAAATTAAGCAACATTTAGCCTGATTAGTACTTAGAACCACTTGGAAATACCAGCTGTGGTAAGATTGGATATGTGAGTGGTATAATGGATAAAGGATCAGATTTGGAAACTGGAGAGCAAGGTTCTGATGAGCTTTCCCCTTTGGTAGCTTGACTATGAATTTAAGTGCAGTACTAGATGGGCAGCTCAGTCTCATCATTTTGCAGTTAAAATTACTAGATATAACAGTTTCTTTTCTGCATTTCTTGCTTGTGAAACTATCTTCTTGCTTTCTGGACAACATTGATCTTCAAAGATAATTGACATTACATTTAAATTCATCTCTTTGAATCACATTCAGTAAACCCTTGCCTCTTAGTGCCTTTATTCCCTTGCTTGAGGTGAAATGATTAAAGTTTTTTCTTATAAAATGACTTCATTTTTTTTTTTTGGTTTTTGTTCTTAGATAACACTGAATGGTTAAGTGAAAGTCCAAAGAGTTTATGGAAAAAGATTGTTGATGATATTCATGAATATTATCACTTTACTTTAGAAAGGTATGTGTTTCTTATTACTATAAAAATTTATATTTATTGGGTACATATTTAAGTTGACATCTCTATTTTTTATTTACTTACATTTTTTTATATAATTCACACCTCCAATCTTTTAAAACTAATCTTGGATCTGATAGGATAATGAAACTTGTAGTAAAGTGAAAAAATCTCTTTAAAATGACATTTTTACTTTTCAACATAGCTACCATGTAGCATTATACTTCTCTTTTATTTATTTAATAGCCAAAAATTGACATTGCTACATGTTATTTCCAAAATTAAAGCATTAGAAGGTTAACTTCATTCAACGCTTTACTTTTGGAAACAACCAAATGTCTTATGGTGTCAGATTGGAACTAAATTGTGCAATATTTAAATTTCAAGCTTCTTACAATTTGTACCAATTGTTGTTGCAGTGTAACCTTGTACTGTCATTCAAGCCTTTTGATTCTGAAAATGCATTTTCAGTATCAAGGTTTCATTGTTTTTTTTGTTTTTTTTAAATATCTGAATTTTGATTGTTCAGTCTTTTAGCGTCAACAACTCTATTGGTGATCACTATACATAACACCAACATACTATTCTTGAGTAATGAACTTTATTACTTGATGTAGTCTTACCATAAACTAATACTAAGCACATTTTAATTTTTATATATTATTAAATATGTTTCTTTCTCTCTTATTAGTAACTCTGTATAATAGATCTTATAAATCAAATATAACATATATTTTTCAACTTATTAAACCTTTGAGTGAAATCCATTTTTATATTGATGTCTAGTTAATTAAATAATTGGATCTCAATCTTTCCCCAGATCTCAAGTGTAACTTTGTGTGTATATATACGATCTATTAAATATGCTGGAAAAATGGTTGGGTCATGGTAATATTCCAGTAAGTACCTGACTCCCCCTGCTATACTTTCTTTACAAGAGTCAGATCAAGCCAAAAAATGGAGTATTGCTGCAATGTCTGGGTTGAAGTCCAGTCTTCATTTTTTTTTTTTTTTTTTTTTTTTTTGTAGTTAAAGTGTCTACAGAGCATTGACTGAATTGTTTTCCACCTTACAAACCCTTTCTCATGAATGAAATGTTGCAAGCCTCTTACAGCTCTATTGCTATGGCATGTGTTCTGATAAGCAACATTTCTTGGTTCCACCAGCCCTGATCTTTTACAGGTCGGACTTGCCATGGCATGTACACAAAGGCGAATCGGCCCCATTTTCCTTCATATTCCATTTATATATCCATTAATAAGGAGTAAGTTCCATTCAGACAGTTTCTTCCCAAGAACTGCTGCTTTGTGTAACAGACTCTAGGCAGTATGTTGTCCCAATCACTACAATCTTGACCTCTTCAAGTCTTGGGTTAACCTGTTGTGGGAGTCTATTGTGTTTGGTTATAATTAGTCTCCATTATGTTATGGGTATCACCTCTTTGGTGGTGATGTGTAAAAACATTTTATAGTAAATATTTAATGCTCCTGGGACATTTGTCCCCAAAACTATATTGGACAGACTTATGTGAGTTTGAGTAAAAATAAGAAACACAAAACAATGAATTTAAAACAAATTGCAATTAATGCATGTAGTAACAAAAGTATTTGTATGTGTCTACAATTGTAATGAAAGGAAAAGGCAGCTCTGTGTGTTCAAAAGTCAACAACAAAAAATGAATGCATGGCAACATTCTTTACCTACACTCGACTACATATGGAAGCCAGCGTTAAAGAGGAAGATGAAAGTTTCTATTTTTATAAGCTTAAATAATGCCATCTAGTGGGTGATTTTGGTGGAGCCAAATGGGGTAAATAAAAAAAAAAATTATTTCCTGAATAACACCATGAACCTCACTTGCATTTCTTAAGCTCATGACACCAATCAGTAACCCTCTACCTTGAGTAGCTCTTGAGCCTTGCATTGGGTGAAAATTGTTATAGGAAAAAAATGGTGTTCAAGGTAAATCCACCCACCCTACTAATTGTATCAGTAAGCCAAATATATTCATTTCTATTTGTGACTTTAATTGCAAAAAAATAGTATTTACATTATTCTGACTTATCCTCATCTTATGCCATATTCATAACGCTTTGGCTGTTGTACATTCCAGTCTTCTTCTCATGATTGGAATTTCAAACTGAACCCTTTATTTTGTCCACTTGGGTAGATTGTTCTAGTTCCACTTGCCATGCTTCTTCCAGATCTACCCTGGTGGACAAAATAAAGGGTTCAGTTTGAAATTCCAATCACCTGAAGAAGGCTGGAGTGTACAATGGGTAAAACATTGTGAATATAGCAATGAAGATAAGGATAATGGTTCGAATAATGTAAATAATCATAATACCTCATCTCAGAGATCTAGACAGATAAAGTGTTTTATGCTTTTAAAGAATGGCTAGCTAATGTACAAAAAAAATTTTATAGTAAATTTTTTTTTTTTTTTTCAGTGATAGCATGGATTCTCTTGTTGAGAAATATGGTATCCAGAAAGTTTCTGTTTTGAGATCACTCTGCAAAAAGTGTGGAATTCAGATCTTGTTACGAGATTACAATATGGACTCCAAAAATAAGCAACCTTTCTATGAGGATGATATTGTGAATGTTTTCCCTATTGTAAAGAATGTTCACCCAAGGGTTTGTTTTTATGTTTTATTTCATTTTTTATTGTTTTTGTGTTTTTTTTTGTTTTTGGGTTTTTTGTTTGTGGCTTTTGTTTGCTTTTTGTGGCGTTTTTTGTTCGTTTTTGTGGCGTTTTTGTTTCTTTGCGTTTTTGTGTTTTGTTTACACTTTAGTGTTTGATAAATATTTCCTGTTTTATTTGTAAATAAAGAAATTTGAGATTTATGTTTAAAAAACATCTATAATTTATAACATTAAAATTTCTCTAAGAGTAAAAATAATTGCTACTCAGAATGACATAAAATATACTTAATTCTTTATATTCTCCAGGCAACTGATGCTTACAATTTCTTCTCAAGTGGTCAAAATAAGATTCAGCAAGGTTTACTAAGAGAAGGCTATGACTTAATCAGTGAAGCCTTGAATCTCTTAAACAATGTCTATGGTGCCATGCATCCTGATATTTCTGCGTGTTTACGTCTGCTTGCTCGACTTAATTACATCATGGGAGAATATGCAGAGGTAAGAAATTATTTTATTTTTGGGTTCTTCTTTTAGAAGGAAAATCTATGTGGAAGAAACAAACTTTATCAATTACTCTGTTAATTAATCTATAAACTCCTTCTCTAAAAAAAAAAAAAAAAAAACTTATTTTAATTTTGTTTTATTTATTTTGTGGGAGTGTTTTGTTTTATGACCAGACAAGAATCATTAAAATTCTTTAATGAACTTTATTCATATTCATTAATGTACAATAACTGAAAATCAATATTTAAAAAAAAAAAAAAATTCTTCATTATTTTTACACACTCAGAATTTTTTTAAATGGCTTACAACTTGCAAATTTTCAGTGGAAAAATTTTACTTTGATCTTTTCAAAATCTTTTTTGCAGGCCCTTTCCTACCAACAAAGAGCAGTCCTTATGAGTGAAAGAGTTTTAGGTATTGATCATCCAAATACTATAACAGAATATGTAAGTTCTTTTTGGGGTTTTTTTTTTTTTTTTTTTTGTTTAATCTAAAAATGGGTGTATTTGTCGCTTGGATGAAAAATTTTAAATTTTCTGTTATGTTCAAAGAACAAAAATATTGTCTATTTTGTACAGGGTGTTGCAGCAAAATCTGACACTTGACAAAAAAAGGAAATAAAAACAAAAGTTGTATATGCAGAGACCCGACAGTTTATTTAGCAACAGTTAGTTAAATACTACATTATTTTTCAATGTAACCGCCAGCGATGACGACTATCTTGAGGCTGGCATGAAATGAGTCACACGCTTTGGTGACCATGTCCTTTTCCATAGCGGTGAATGCCTCCATGATGGTAGCCTTCAGAGAGTCGATTATGTTGTGGGTGTGCTTGTTGGTCTTGGCCTCGATCACACCCCAGAAGAAATGGTTAAGGGGGATACAGTCGGATGAGGAGGGCGACCACAAGTCTGGCGACCAGTGGTGAGGAACATTGTTGAGCAGCCACGCCTGGGTTGTCTTGGCCTTGTGTGCAGGAGTGGAGCCCTGCTGGAAGACATAGGGACGTCCGTCAGCGATCTCGTCCATCCAGGGGTTCACCACGCTCCTCAGCACCTCCTAGTAGATCTCAGCGGTGACTCAGGCCCTTTTGAAAGAAGAATGGAAGCATGACATCCCCCTTGCTGGAGATGACGCCAAGGACCATGACAGAGAAGGGGAAACTTCGTATGTTTCATGATGGGAACCTCATCGATGTCTTTGCATATCCACCTGTCGTTCTGCCTATTGCTCATCTGGTCCTGGATTAAATTCTTTTCATCAGAGAAGAACCACAGCATCCTGGCAGACCCATACTTGATCTTGTTCAGCAAAGCTGCCACCTTCACCATACTCTACTTCTTGGAGGCATTCATGATGAGACTTGCAGTAGGAGGGGTAACCAATATCCTTGATCATTTGGCAGATCGTTGACTTGTGACAGCCCATGTCGGCAGCAATCTTGGCATAGCTCTGGCTTCCATCACTGTTGATGGCTCCTTGAGGGCGAACTCGTCAGTCCCAATGAACATTATGGGCCTTTCGTTTGGCAGTAAACTCGTCCTTGTTCTCACACGCCTTCCACTTACTCCAAACGTCCATGACCATGGTCCTCTCGAATCCAAACCAGGCCATCACTTCCACAGGCTTCTTCCTGATGCGAAAAGAAGCTACTACTGTTTTTCTGCACTCATATTCCATCCTGGAAAAGGGTAGAGAGACAGACGTTAGTTAGTTGTCAGGTATCTTTACATACAACTTTTGTTTTTATTGCCTATTTCGTTTTATTTTTGTCAAGTGTCGGATTTTGCGGCAACACTGTATGTTTTGTATCAACTGAATAAATGCATTCTTGAATAATCGATTTGACAAATTTTATACCAGACAAAATTTATTTTAACTTGATTTTTAAAAATGCAGCATACAGGATAATATTTTTCAGAAAGCATTTCAAGTGGGACTTATTCAAAGATTTCAAACTAATATCTGCATCTTCACATTGTTTTTGCTAATTTTGCAACCACTTCAGATGTTACATTTGGTTGTCTTTGAGAATTAATATAAATCTTTAGAAACACTAAGAATATCTTGGTTTAAAAAAAAATGTTAATTTTGGCTAATGCTATGAATTAAAATTAATATTGAAACTGAAATTGCAATGTTGAATCAGATTAAATTGGTATCCAAATTGGTATTGCTGTTGATCAGGTTTTTAGATTAATATTGCTCCAGGGATAGAATATTAGTTTGGGACAATTGGTTGGTCTTGGTTATTATTATTACTATTATTATTATTGAGGGACAGTAAAATTTTATTCTTTTAAGCAATTTCTTTAAATTTCTTTTCTTTTTTTTTTTTCCATCAATTGTTAATTTATTTTATCAGTTTTTACAAGCTTTTAATAAATGGAACATGCATATATGTGCACATACACCCCACCATATATATGTATATCCTATTACATCTTACTTTTACACACTTTAGTGTTGAATGTTTGCCATAAATTTAAATATTATCTGTTACTTCAATACATGTCATGCATATGTAAGCAATGAAATAGTCTAACACAATATACTATTAATGTGTGTCTTTTTGCTTTTAATCATTTTTTATCAGTTCTATCTTGCTCTCTGACGAAGCTTTAATAAAGCGAAACATTAGTTTAAAATCTGTTTCCTACTTGTTCATTTTCCTATCATTTTTTTAGGATTCCTGTCCATAATATATGTATATATACATATAAAAACAAACTTTTTAAAATGGTGAAGGAAACCATAAAAAAAATGATTGTTGAAAAATTCAAATATTTTTTATTTATCTCTGCAACTGAATAGTATCTTTTCATAAGAACTAATTTTGCTTCAAGAAACAAGGCTATAATATTGTCATTTATTTCTGTGACCAAAGTAATTTTGAATCTTTCTATATTTATTACATTTTGATAATTTTCAATTTTTTCTTACCCTATTTTTCCAGGCACATTTAGCATTGTACTGTTTTGCAAACAACCAAATATCAAATGCCTTGCGTCTTATGTACAGAGCCAGATATTTGGCGATTCTTTGCCATGGAGAGAATCATCCAGAAGTAGCCTTATTTGATGTAAGTAGATAATTTTATATAATTCCATATATTATAAAATGGACTAAGTCCAACATTTATTTTAACATATTTTTTGTTTATACGTTATTTTTATGCATATAAATATTTAAGTAAATGCACTGTTTGCAACAAAAAGTATTAACAACATTTATTGCCCTGAATGACCGAGAAATTCAATAGAAAATGTCATAGGAAATTTGTAGTTTAAAAATAGTAATTTGACCTTGCTAACCAGACACTTCCTCTGTTGCTAACTGGTATAGCTCATCGGGCGATATGATGTATTCGTGTATGATACGGGTTCAATTCCTGTCAAAGGACGCATATTTTCTATGAAATTTCTGACATTAAGGCCAGTAAATGTTAATACTGTTTATTACAAACAGAGCATTTACTTAGATATTTGTATCTATAAAAATAATATATAAACAGAAAATATTAAATTGAATAATTTTTTTTTTTTTTTTTTTTTTACACAATTGAAAATAAACATAAAAGCAATAGAAAAACAGATATGTTTATTTAGGTCAGTGCTTAAAGTATAGTCATGACCCCAAATGGAGTCAGAAAGCAAAATGCTGGGGTTATGAAAATTAAGTTTTAACACCTGAATTTTAGTTTATTTCACAAATGCTCAATATTTAACTTGATGTACAGTGCATGCATTGCAGTAATAAAATGCATATGCAGTGCTGTTGCAACTAGTGCAGTGGCAATGGATGTATTTTCAGTGTAGTTGGTTAATACTTGGGGGCCGTGAAAAATTTCATGATTTAAAACAGGGTCATGAATGAAAAAGTTTAAGAAGCGCTGATTTATGCAAATTTATTCATTCAAATATACAATAAATTAGAAATAAGTCTGAAATGTTTGAAGTTTGTTAGTCTTAATAAAACAAAAGAATTTGGATAATCTTCCTAACAGATTTCTAATTCATGTAGGATTTCTTGGTATAGGCAAGTTTCTTTTGAAAAGACCTAATAAACATAGTTATTTATTCAGATAAAATTAGTAATAAGTTTGAGGTTAGACTATTTTATAACTAATTTTTAAACATTTTTTATTCATGCTGAGAAACTGGTTTGTAATATGCAGTATTTGTAATTTTAAAAATTTTAGGAAACGATGTTTATTTTAAATTCATTCCTGTTATAATTCTTAATTTCAGAACAATATTGGTCTGATTCTTCATGCTGCTGAAGAATATGAGCTTTCTTTAACTTTCTTAGAAAAAGCCTTTCAGTTAAATACCAAGTAAGTAAAGTTAATTTTTTGTTCTCCATTTTGATGTTTTTTTTCCTATTGTCTCCCTTTAGGAGAGAAGCTCTTATGTTCTTTTTCATACCAATATTCATTGATTTTTTTTTTTTTTTTTTTTTAACTCTGTTAGGTTATTTAATGTCAAATATTTTTTTAACTATATGGCTTGTAAACAATCCTTTGAGTCATTGGTTCCATCACTCTCTGGTTACGCCTTTAGAAAAGAGTTATTTAGTGCTATATATTTGTGTTATAGACTGACTTCCTTCAAATAGGTTAGGATAGTCTCTATTTTTATCTTCTTGAAAAGGTCCTCTAGAGTAGAAATGTCATAAAATTGTTGACGTATAGGACCAAGGTTACTACAGTTGATTAGAATATGTATTTATTATATATCTCCTGACATGCTGTTCATTTTTAACAGGATATCAACTCTGAAGGTTATTCAATACTGAAAATATAGTTTTTTAAATATATGGCTTGTAAGCAATTATTTCAATCATTGGTACCATCACTCTCAAGTTACACCTTAAGAAAAGAGTTATTTAGTGCTATAAATTGTGGTATAGACCAACCTCCTTCAAGTAAACTAAGATATTCTCTACTTTTATATTCTTGAAAAGGTCCTCTAGACTAGTCATGTCATAACATTGTTGATGTATAGTAGTCAGTTGGTTAGAATGTTTTACGGCATATGCTGTTAAAAAAAAAAAAAAAATCCCACATGATATCGTGTGTTTGTATCTGTGTTTAAGAACTTTTTTCTTGACCTAGGCACTGAATTTGTGACCTTACAATGAACTAAGTGATATTCACTTGCAGTTTTTTATGATGTTTCTGGAACATCAAATTAATTTTTTTAATTCTCATCTGATACTGAAGTGTATGTATCATTTAAAGATTTAAACAGTTTATAACTATAAAACAGACAAATTTTTCAACTATCCATTTGACCAAATAATTCCATCTGAAAGTTTGAGTGATTGATTTTTTTCTGTTTTAACAGCATATCAATTCTGAAGGTTATTGAATACCAAAAATATAGATTTTAAATATATGGCTTGTAAACAATCTTTTGAGTCATTGCTTTCATTACTCTCTAGTTACGCCTTTAGAAAAGAGTTATTTAGTGCTATATATTTGTGTTATAGACTGACTTCTTTCAAATAGGTTAGGATAGTCTCTATTTTTATCTTCTTGAAAAGATCCTCCAAGACAATATTCAGAGAACTTAACGATTACTTGGTTACTTATTTTAGTACATAATTTTACTTAAAATTATTGCCATGTAACGCAAACCATATTCACTGTGTTATTTAAACAAATTAATCATAAATAATCAAGTTGTGCTTTTATAGTTGTCACTTATACCAAGTAAGTCCATTTTTACAAGTAGCGGAGTAATTGTTCTAAGTAACAGTTAATCAAAATAAGTGTTGCATAATTTGTTTCCTTTTAGACTTTAACTTTTATATTTTGAAATTGTATAAAAAAAAAATTTAAGACCTAGATTTTTTTTTTTTTTAATATGACTATGAAAAGTACTATTTTTTTTAAGTACTATTTTCTAAGAAAAAAAGATATAGCTAAAAAAAAATTAAATTTTTAATTTATAGTTTCCATACAGGAAACATTTGGCACTCATTGACCAAATACTTTGTATTATTGTTGATTGAAATCAATTATTCAGGAAAATAGGTTTCTCAAGTCCCCTGTTACTGTTCAATCTAGCATTGATGGAAGTTTCCTTCCTAACCTTTTGTTTAAGGTAGTATGGAAAATCATCTTGATTATATCATTTTCTCTTGTAGTTACATATGCTATACATTTACATTGTTGCTGCTGTTGGAAGTCTAAGTAATATGGTTTTGGTAAAGCTCTTTGATTTTGTGGTGCTTGTTGGGATCTTAAGGAAGGATTGTCATCTTTTAAGGGTTAAAATATTAATTCACTTGTAGCGCCTTTTTAATCCTTGTTCTAAGAACATGGTTCTATAGAGATGATAGTTTAGACATCTCTGAATGAATTGGATGCCATGCATGACATCCATATGAGTCTTGGTCTGATGAGGCTATTTAACAATACAACTTGAATTGGTTCTATACAGATGATAGTTTAGACATCTGTGAATGAATGGGATGCCATGCATGACATCCATATGAGTGTCTTGATCTGATGAGGCTATTTAAGAATACAACTTGAATTGGTTCTATAGAGATGATAGTTTAGACATCTCTAAATGAATTAGATGCCATGCATGACATCCATATGAGAGTCTTGATCTTGATGAATTTTCTTTTGGCTGAAATAGTTTTGTATTAATCTGTTGGTGCCAGAGTCAGCTGATTATTTTTTCAATACAAGATCCACCACTCTTGGAGATTAAATACAATAATTTTTCCTTTTTTTTTTTTCTTCACCTTTGTCTGTGTTAAATGAAAATGTTGAAGAATAAAAGCTGATGCAGAGTTTTTTTTTCTATTAAATTTTAATTATTCTACATAATATCAGTCCTCTTATATGGAAATCTCCTCACAGATGAAGAGACTTGAAGCAAGAGAAACAACGAAAAGTGTACTGAACTGTTATGTAATATCAGTCCTCCTATATGGCAGTGAATGCTGGACAATCTCCTCACAGATGCAGAAGAGATTTGGAGTAACAAATGTTGTTCTACAGAAGGATGCTGTGAATATCATGTACTGAATATATGCACAATTACAGTTTTAGAGAGAATGAAACAAAAGGACACTTATACAGGAAGAGACGGTTGAAATTCCTATGATACATAATGATACTTGAAAAATTTGGACACAAAGAGGGATGGAGGGAACAACACAAAATTTGAGTTTGAATAAATGGACAATGGATCAAGGTTTGAGATAACAAAAGACAAATTAAGAAGCTACAAAGGGAATGGAGAGGAACTTCCAGAAGAACAACATGGCCATAGAAGAAAAATGAATGAGTTTGAATAAATGGACAATGGATCAAGGTTTGAGAGGTAACAAAAAGACAATTTATTAAGAAGCTACAAAGGACAGGAAATTGTGGAGAGCCATGATTGCCTACTTCCAGAAGAGACAACATGGCACATAGAAGAAAATGAATGAGTTTGAGTAAATGGATGATGGATCAAGGTTTAGGAGAGATAAGAAAAAGACAAAATTTATTAAGAGCTACAAAGGACAGGAAATTGTGGAGAGCCATGATCGCTTACGTTCTGAAGGCATACGGTACATAGAAGAAAATGAATGAGTTTGAGTAAATGGATGATGGATCAAGGTTTAAGAGAGGTAACAAAAAGACAATTTATTAAGAAGCTACAAAGGACAGGAAATTGTGGAGAGCCATGATTGCCTACTTCCAGAAGAGACAACATGGCACATAGGTGTTTTTTCCCCCCTCAAATATTCATTTTCTTGTTTTGATTTTATAACATTTAATCAACTTTCAATTTTTAAAATGAAAATTGAATAAATGCCTTTTGCTTTATCAAAATCATTTGCTGCATCGTTTATTGATCAACTAATTTTAAATTTGATAGTTTTCCACATAGCTTCATGGGGATTTTTGGGACTTTGTATATCAAACACATACAACTCTTTTGAAGATTTTTTTTTTTAATTTGAAAAGGGCTTATGACCATATCACATTGAATCACTGAAGTTGAGCAACATTGTGCCTGATTAGTATTTAGATGGGTGACTGCTTGGATGTGTAGATGGCATAAATGTCTTGTGGCCACATCATATTGAAACACTGGTTCCTGTATGATCATCAGAGTTGAGCAATGCCAAACCTGGTCAGTATCTAGATGGGTGACAACTTGAGAATATCAGGTGTTGTAAGCTTGGATATATGAGTAGTATAAAGGGTTTACAGCCATGTGTTGAAGCACTGGTTCCCACATGATCACTGAAGTTAAGCAATGTTGAGCCTGGTCAGTATCTAGATGGGTGACTGCTTGGAATATTAGGTGCTGTAAAATTGGATGTACAGGTGATTTAATGCATAATGGCTTGGAATTTTTAATCTGAGAGCTGAGTTCCAATTCTAGTTGACTTCGTTATATGTACTTAGGTGCAAATATAATTGGGAAAGGTATGAATCCACCTCTTCTCCCCCTAACTATGGTTTAATTAGTAAGACTTGTATCACTAAATCATCTCTCCACCCCCAAATTTTTACAATCTAAAAATGTTTTCTGGCTTTAAATAACCTGCAAAGGGTTAAGCTGTAGATAACAAATCAATCAACAATCAATTTAAAAATTTTAAGTTTAACTGAGAAACTTCTTTCAGAATTTCCTTACTAATTAAAAAAAAAAAACAAAACAGGTATATAATATTTTTATTTTTATTTTTTTACAGATTTTACGGTGTTAAGAGTTTGAAAGTTGCTATGGGACACCACTTAATGGCAAGAACTCGCTCTTGCCAAAGTGATTTCAGATCTGCCTTGCAAAGTGAAAAAGAAGCTTATGCTATTTATAAACAAGTAGTAAGTAAATCTATTTTATTTTTATTTTATATATTTTATATTATCTTTTTTACATATTAAAATATTTAATCTCTCTCTTTTTCAGTATTTTATTTGTATCTTGTATTACTGTATTTCCTGTATGCTAAAATCTAAAAAGTGGTAAGACCCACTCTATAATTAGCTAGGTATGCTTTTAGAGGAGGGAAGAAGCTATTTGAGTACTTAATAACTTATTGTACTATCAAGTCCAAGTTGCTGTCATTTTTCTTTTTGTCACAGCAAATTATCACATTTTGGACGTGGTGTTATACATGGTGTTATACATGGTGTTATACATGGTGTTATACATGGTGTTATACATGGTGTTATACATGGTGTTATACATGGTGTTATACATGGTGTTATACATGGTGTTATACATGGTGTTATAATCTAACATGGCACATTTATATCCAACTCCCAGTTGATGTTTCAGGGTTGTGTTTAAGAGCACAGACATTACTGTATGAATATTACCTATCCATTTGTATTATTAACATTACCAAATTTAGTAAAACCAGGAATATAATAGAAGTTTGTATAAAGAGGAAGTGTCAACTATTTTTATTTTCATTAGTTGGAATGAACTACAGTGCCTTTTTATCTGTGCCCTATCACCCCAATAGAACTTTATTGCTTTATTCTGCAATACCAATACTAAAAAAAAAACCCAAAAAAAACTATGGAATGATACTAGGATATGTTATTCATTACATATGAATAATAATGATAATAGTAATATTTTATGTCTGAGGTTTGTGATTGCTTTCATTTTGTGACAGGTTTGTAAAGGTTGGCAAACTCCTGTCTACAATTTAACCTTTCAGTGCTAAGATGTAGGATGATATTTGAGGGTATTTTTTCAGGAAAAATATTTTAGCATATGGGGAAATATGGTAATTTTGTACAGACTTGTTTTAATTTCTTTACATATTGAGGAATTTGAAATTTTCAGATAGAATTGCATATCTCTGAATTGAAGCCAATACTTTCAGTTAATATTAGTAATTTACTTACTAAAACTTTCTTTTTTTTTTTTTTTTTTGTTATTAATGAATGAATCTAAAAAAAAAAAAAAATTTATGTTGCTCCTCAAGATTATTTTTCCCCAGTTTGATCAAATGGGCCAGTGTAATTAAGTGATCAAATTTTCATATTCACAGCTTGGAGAGGATCATGAACGAACTAAGGAGAGCTCAGAATGTTTGAAACATTTGACTCAACAGGCAGTTGTCTTCCAGAAAAAAATGAATGAAATATGCAAAGGTGATAAATCTATCAACTTTGCATCACTTCAGGTAAGTTTTAATTCTATAAATATAATTTTTCTTTTCAGGAAATTAAATATAAAACCATATATTTTCAATTATTATAAGTGCCTATAACTATTCTTTTATTTTCAATCTAACACTTGCCTAAATTAAATGGGGACATTCCTTTGAGTGACCATGAGTCAAATTCGGCCATCTCCTAAAAGATACCCAGATAAATTACATCTGTGTCCTGGGTAAGACAACAAACTACATCTGACAACAACATCTCTGATCAGGTTTTGAGGAGTGTGGAACCACCTCTTAATTGCTGGTGTTCCCAGGTCAACCTTGATCTGGTGTGGTAGCACCTGTTAGGGTCCCAGCCATGGGAAAATAATTAACCCCAAAATGGGGTCAAAACATTATGAAAGCATAAAAATAGGTTTTACTACCAGTAATACATTTTTGTAAAAAAAAAATTATTACCAGCAATAAAAATCTTGTCTGCATTAAATAAGCCATTGAGGTTGATATGCTGTAAAACAAACCAAACAAAGTGCTAAGATGTCTGGAGAACATTTCAAAGGCAAAGATTCTACACTACAGATATTTAAATATATGCAGTAAAGGTGTGTGGGGTGGGACTTCTACCAATTTATTAATGATTCCTTTATGCATTGGGCACATTCCGTGTCAAATCAACAAATTTTGGGGGGGCAAATACCATGTCCGACACGGATTATTTTCAAATTTGCTACACTTATAGATCTCCATGAAAGGAATTGAATGGCACCTGTTACACATCTCAAGGTCAAGGGGTTCCCGAGATATGACCTCTGACCTTTTTACGAAAATGTGAATAGTGACCAACTTTAAAAGATGATATCTCAGTTGTTTATGGACCTACAAAGTTCATTCATATATCATTCTAAAGTACTTGGATGGATCTACAATTTTATCTGGGGATTTTTTTTTTTTTTTTTTTTTTTTAGAGGTCAAATAAAAAAGTTGACCTTGTCCTTTGATCTGACTTATCTCAAAAAACGTTATTTTAATTTTTTTAAATTTTGACAAAAGATTTGTCTATCTTATGACAGTATATATTCCAAATTTCATGATGGGCATTCCACTAGAACTGGTGTTACAAGTGTTTTATAGGACTGGGCAAAATTCAAAATGGCGGAATGTAGTATCTGCTACTTCACATAAAAACATTTTGATATTTCACAATATGGTCAAGTTGTATATCTTTGTAAAGCTATTTTAATGCTGATTAATATTCACATAAGAACCATAGTCATGAAATTAATAAAAAAAATTTTTCTGGTGATGAAACTGAATTTTCTTCATTTTTTTTTTTTCTAATGCAACACAGATTTTGTTAGAAAAAGTGATATATAGAAATAAATATATATATATATATATATATATATATATATATATATATATATATATATATATATATATATATAGAAAAAATTTACAGGAACAATATCTGATAGAATCAGTATAATTTCATCAAACATTTCTCATGAGGAATCAACTAGTGCCGAACACCAAAACTTTGAAAGAGATATCATCACCCAGTTGAAAGAGAAGTTTGCTGTGAGTGAAAAGAGATCACAAAAAATTCAAATTCTGACTGTACTTCTAAAAAGCTGGAGTCTAAGCAAAATACAAACAGAATTTGGCACTACAATGTACATGGCAAAGCCAGCAAAAAAACTTGTGAATAAGGAAGGAATTTTAGCTTTGCCAAATACTCGAAAAACTAGATTCCCACAAGAGACGATTGATAAGGTGAGGCAGCTTTATAAAAGAGAAGAAGTCAGTAGAGTGATGCCTGGAAAAAATGATTACAAGACTGTTTTAAAGGATGGAAAACGTGTTCAGGAACAAAAATATCTTGTTCTCTGTAACTTGGAAGAGGCATTTGAATTATTCAAATCAAAGAACCAGGAGAAAATAAGCTTCTCTAAATTGATTGAGCTTCGACCAAAAGAATGTGTGCTAGCAGGTGGTGCTGGAACTCATACTGTCTGCATTTGCACAATCCATCAGAATATGAAGTTGATGATTTCAGGATCTCATCTTGGTAAACTGACTGAAGGAGAAAATAATCATTTAACAGATTACCACCAATGCATACTTGCTGTTACATGCAATGAAGCATCAGCAAGTTGATATTAGGTTGGTGCAAAAATAGTGTTGCTTTTTGATAAGTTGAACGTCAAAAAACGATATTATTTTTGCACCAACCTAATACTTGGGTGACTGCTCAACTTGCAGCAAACTGATGGATGATTTTGTTTTGTATATGGAAGAAATGTTTTACAAAAATTCAGTTGATGATTTTGTATACAAACAATTGTTATCAACTGATAGAACCACTCTACAAACTCTATCACAATCCACAGGAATTCATTGAAACTTTCCATGCAGGCCTTTCATTGCCAAAGCACAATCAAAGTTTTGTTCTGATAGAAAAGGTTCTTTGAAGGTTAGTGAAGTTTTAGCAATAGCAGATTTTGTTGAGAATTATTCATTTATTTTGCAAGATGCGGCTCAAGGCTTCCACTGGAATAATGATCAAGCTACATTGCATCCATTCATCTGCTACTATAGAAATAGAATTGACCTTGAGCATATTAATTTTGTAATAATATCTGATTGTCTCAAGCATGACACAGTAGCTGTCCATTTGTTTCAAAGAAAGCTTATAGAAAAATTAAAAGAAATTCTTGATTTTGATGTCCAAAAAAACGATATATTTCTCTGATGGTGCTGTTTCACTCTATAAAAATTTTAAAAACTTTATAAATTTGTGCAACCATAAATCTGATTTTTTTTTAATAAAAAGCCCTTTTTTTTTTTTTTTTTTTTTTTTTTTTTCTCTAATCATTTCACCCCAAGCAAGGTGATAAAGCCACTAAGATGCAAGGGATTACTGAGTGTGAGAAACCTGAGAAAATGTCCTTGAAGAGAAAGGACAATAAAAATAGAATTCAAGGAGACATCAGACAATTGACATTAAATTTTTGAAGATTGTAGTTGACAGGAAAGTAAGAAGCAGGAAGAGAAGTGGCAAAGAAACTTAGAATAGAACTTCTGGTTAATGATGAAACCTAATTGCCAATCTAGTTGTTTGCTTAAATTCATAAAGTCAAGGTACTAAAGAGGAACACACTCGCCATGAAAATATTTATAGAAAAGGTAGAGGGAAGATATATCATAAGTGGGAAATTGACTCGAGTAGAGATGCCAGATTAGGGCCAGTAAGATTGCAAATTCTTTTTCGAATTTTTTCAAGAATCTCAAGATACATTGCAGAAGCACCAGACCATATTTGGCAGCAATATTCAATGCATGGATGAATGGTAGACTTATAAAGGTGCAAGATAGATTCTGGCGAGAATAAATTTATAGACTGATTCAGTGAACCAACTTTCCTAGCAACTAACTTCACAACTGACTTGATAAGATTTCTTCATATATTATTTAATATAAGAATGCATTCTATAATGGCTTGATTTTGAAGGTTAGTCATGGAGTATATACTGAAATTTTACATTCTTGCAAGGATACACATTTTTAACTGACTGGGGCAAAGATTTGAGCTTAGACAAAATCTGATGCCAAAATTTGAAGGTACATTGGGATAGTTAAAGTTGCTTTCAAAATCTAAGCAAAATATTAACAGAAAAATTTTGTTTGAAATGCAGAAAAGAGTACTGAACTGTTATGTAATATCAGTCCACCTATATGGCAGTGAATGCTGGACAAACTCCTCACAGATGATGAAGAGACTTGAAGCAAGAGAAACAAAGAAAAGAGTATTGAACTGTTATGTAATATCAGTCCTCTTATATGGCAATGAATACTGGACAAACTCCTCGTAGATGAAGAAGACACTTGAAGCAAGAGAAACAAAGAAAAGAGTATTGAACTGTTATGTAATATCAGTCCTCTTATATGGCAATGAATACTGGACAAACTCCTCACAAATGAAGACACTTGAAGCAAGAGAAACAAAGAAAAGAGTATTGAACTGTTATGTAATATCAGTCCTCCTATATGGCAGTGAATGTTGGACAATCTCCTCACAGATGAAGACTAGACATGAAAAACATAAACAAAGAAAAGACTACTGAACTGTTACGAAATATCAGTCCTCCTATATGGCAGTGAATGCTGGACAATTTCCTCACGGATGAAGAAGAGACTTGAAGCAAGAGAAACAAAGAAAAGAGTATTGAACTGTTATGTAATATCAGTCCTCCTATATGGCAATGAATACTGGACAAACTCCTCACAAATGAAGACACTTGAAGCAACAAAAACAAGGAAAAGATTACCGAACAGTTATGTAATATTGGTCCTCCTCTATGGCAGTGAATATTGGACAATCTCCTCACAGATGAAGAGACTTGATGCAACAGAAATATGGTTCTACAGAAGGATACTCTGAATACCATGGACTGAACATGTGATCAATGAAGTTTGAGAGAAAATGAAAAGGATACTTGTACTTAGCATCACCAAGAGATAGTTGAAATTTCTAGGGCACATAATGAGGGAAGATTGTTTGGAAAATTTGACACAAGACAGATTGAAGGCAAGAGAGGCAATGAAAAACAATGCCTTACCGACCTAGTGAGTTTGGGTGGCAGAACATGTCTTAGGAGAGATAAGACAAAATCTATTAAGTGCTATAAAAGACAGGAAGTTGTGGAGAGCTATGATCACCAATGTACCAAAGTAGCGCAGCACATAGAAAGGCAAAAGTACAGTTTTCATACATTGCTCATAATTGAGGAATATTTTTCTGTGAAATTTAAACAGGTTCTGCTTAGAAAGAAAATATTTTTTATATAACCTCTTGGTTGTCACTCTGTGCTAATGTACAAGTTCCAGAATAAAACCTTTTGCAAACACTAATCTTCTACTAGTAAAATCATTCAGAATTTGTAAAATAAAGTCTAATTTTAAATGAGTTAAGAATGTTTCTGAATACAATTGAAATATTTAAAAATTTTTTATTTTTTTTTCAGATTCAGACACCCTCCATACAAAGTGTATTAGATACACTAAATGTCATTAATGGCATTGTATTTGTGCAAATCAGGTAAGAATTTTTAATATGCAAAGATTTAAAAAAAAAAAAAAAATAATCTTGCAGATCATTGGTGGGATTTTAATTATTAGTTCTGTTTTTCATTTTACATATAAAACAAATACTCTATAAGCTTCTCATTCTTGTCTGGGAGAAACATTTTCTTGTGTTAAAGATATAAAATCTTTTTAGTATATGACTTTTATAACTTTTAATGATATTAAAGAGAAATGTAATTTTTTTTTCTTTCTTTTTTTGTTTTTTTAATAGCCCTGAGGACATTGAACGTTTTCGTTTGGAAATGTTACGGAGACAGCAGACTCAGGCTAACACAAATGCAGAACAATCAGGTCAACAAAAAGACAGTGAACTTAGCAAGTCATCATCAGTTACTAATGACAAAGTGAACTCTGCTAATATAACAAATGGTGACATAGGACATGCACTTCTAGGAAAAGAGGTCCTTGTGAAAGAAGGTTGACCAAGGCCTGCCAATTTAAATAACTAGATACAGCAAAATTTTTGGAGAACTTTGAAAAAAAAAAAAAAATTATTATTTACTTCCATTTATTCTTTGTTGTTCCAATTGCTCCTCAGTTTGTACTATGGAGATAAAAATTGGTGTCTCTTTGTGGGTCATTATCTGCCATATATCTTTGTGTCCATATATTGAAAGCAGATATTAGGGTTATTTTGAACAGATTTACTTGTTTCCTCATCTTGGTTGGTCATGACAGTTATATTTTGGTTGTTGTACTATTAGACATTTTCAAATATGTCATACTTGGTAACCTTAGAGGAATTTTGAACCAAATCTTCTATATTTATGTCTTCATTTCTTCTATCAATAATTTAGGGGATAAAACTAGTGGTTGAATAAATCAAGTTATTGGAAATTATGAATTCAATCCTTGAATTGGCTAGTGCAAAAAATTATACTACTTCTGTGGACAAAAGGAGAAGAATTTACACCTGGGTGTTAGGTAAGGAAGAATTTACACCTGGGATTTAGGTAAAGGGTTCAATTAAGAATTTCTAGAAGGTTATTTTAGATATGACACATCAGAAGGATGGAGGGTGCAATATCCAAAATGTAAGAACAACCAAGATGAGGAAACTAGTTGAAGTAAATCAATGTGCAACTAATTCCTTATTTCATAAATTCCTCCAAAAATTCAGGAATTGGATATTGGAGGTTCACAACTTTTTTTGTTTTCCTGTGTGAAAATGGTGCTGATAATTGAGATGTTTGTGTAGATTTGTAAAAAAATTTCTTGTATATTTGTAAGAAGTTTTTTTAAGTCATCATTAAAATTAAATACTACAGTTTTTGATATGGTTAATATATTTAAAAAAAATTATAAAATAGCATTTAAAGAAATTAATAACTGGAATAAAAGTAATCATTGAAATGTATGCTAATTTCCTGTTTAAACTTACATGTTAGTCTTGAAAATGTGAATTTGAAGTTGATTAACTTAGATATGGATTCTTTAATGACCAGGTAAGCTAATGTTAGCTTGTATTGCTTTATCAAAAAGTGAAATAAATTTTCATAATTCTCACATGCAATAACAAGGAAAAACATTTATTATATATATCTATTACTATTGACTGTGATAGGGACTCTATGGTTTGATTGTAACTTGTCCCCAAAAAATATTCAGTATTTTTGAGGAAGATTACATGGATAATACCCCACCCCCCACCAAAAATTGCAATAACAATTGAGTTAGCTTGTGATTCTCTTGAATTATTAAGAGAAAGATTCTGCTTCTGTCAGATATTGGCTTTCTTATCTGTTATGCTCAAAAGTTTAATATGGAAAAAAAAAAATGTATATATTGGGCAAGTTTTTTGACTGATTTGTCTTTGTTAAAAAAAAATGCAATAATTGTTATAACACAATTTAAATCTTTCATTTTACTTCCTGTTTGTATTACAGATTTAATATTTTCTTTAATTTTTAGGCTATTTTTTTTTTTTTTTTTCATTAGATCTTATTTTTGGAAAATAGATTCCAGGAATAAATCAATGGAGGTAGAGTTCTCATGCCAGTGTCCATACCAAGGGAGATAACTCATCAGTTTTTTTTTTTTTTTTGTGATATGTTTCTTATATCTTCCAATGAATGAGAGGTATGACATTTCCTTCCTCTACCAGACAGAGCAGATAAGTGTTGCTTAAGTGAATAGTTACTTGGCAGTTTGTGTAGTCAATCTCTGGGATAGGCAAGTAATCCGAAAAGAGGTTGTGTAATTTGGCTCATTGGAAGGAGAAAGATAAGGTCAGAAAAGACAACTGAGACAAGGGATCCTCTAGCTTGGATAGAGGAATGAATACAATCAACTAGTGTTGAAAGAATAAAGGGTTTGATTGAAAAATTACATATTATCAGCTATGACATATCTAAGGACTTGAAGGGACAATATTCTAAACATAATGCGTAAAATAAAATGAATAAAGATATTGGAATAATGATAACATTATCTATTTTTTTTTTTTAAATTTTCATTGTTATTGTTGCAAGAATTGCAGATATTGTTGTAAACAATTGAAAATAATTCTGTATTCTTTTGATAGTCTTTCAAGCTGAAGATTTAAATATAATTTGTATATTTCTCTGTAGAATTGCTTTATTAAGCAAAGTCTATTGAGTTTAAATATTTAAAGTGCTAATGTCTTTATTTACATTATTCGGACTATTGTCCTCATCTTTGTCGCCATATTTATTACATTTCGGCCGTTGTACACTCTGGCCTTCTTCAGGTGGTTGGAATGTCGAACTGAACCCTCTATTTTGCTCACTGGGGTAGACTTTTCTAGTTCCACGTGCCATGTTTAATGGATGTCAGTTATCAGTTATCTCCTGTTAATTTCCTCTGAAAGTTCTCCACTGCCTTAACCGGGTATTGAACTCACACTCTTTGGGTCCTGTCACTGGATCTAACCAACGTCTTTATCCACTGTGCCATGTGTCCTTGTGGACAGATCCAGTGACAGGACCCAAAGAGTGTGAGTTCAATACCCGGTTAAGGCAGTGGAGAACTTTCAGAGGGAAAATTAACAGGAGGTAACTGATAACTGACATCCATCAAACATGGCACATGGAACTAGAACATTCTACCCCAGTGAGTGAAATAAAGGGTTCAGTTCGACATTCCAACCACCTGAAGAAGGCTGGAGCGTACAATGGCTGAAACATTGTAATAAATATGGTGACAAAGATGAGGACAATAGTTCAAATAATGTACATAATACCTCATTTCAAAAATATAGACAGACTGCTAATGTCTTATTTTTTACTTTTCTATAGAGGAAAGTAAAAAGAAAAATAATGAACTATTAGAATTACTGATTTATTCAGTCTAACATAAATTTATTGGACTCTTGTAGGCTCAAAATTACTAGCAGTGGTATAATTATATTCTAAGTGTAGCTTAGATGTGACACAAGACCGAAAGTATGGGACACCTAGTGAGGATCAAACTCACTTTTCAGTCGTAACTGATCTTGCGAGACAAGCTTGCTAACCATTACAGGTGGCCTACTAGCAGTGGTATAAGACCAGAATATTTTGATTAGATGTTCTTAATGTTTGAGTTTTGTTTTAATCTTTTTCAATATTGAATCAAAGACTATTACATAGTAATTTTATACTTAAAAGCAAAAATAATTGAACATTTTTATAGTAAATTTCCATTTATTGAAAGTAATTATGTATTATTGTATTTTGTTTAAGGAGAAACTCACTGAAAATTTATGCTGTAAGTGGTTTTTTTTTTTTTTTTTTTCCTGTAAAGATATATTAAAGGAGATGAAAATGTTATTTTCACTCCAGTAATTTTATTTTTATTATGCTTTTACTATACACTCTATTGATAGAATTAATATCATCTTGATTATTGTCAGAAGGTTTTGGCTGTTTTACACTTGAGCTTTCTTCAGGTTTCTTGGCAAAATTCCAGGAATTCAATCAATGGTTGTAGATTTCTCATTCCTGTGTACATAGTAAAGGAGATTACTAGTATCACTTAAATCTTTGTGATGTTCTTTGTATCTTCCAATGAATAATAGTATGACCCCCCCCCCCCAACTACCAAACACATCTGTTGCTTAAGTGAATAGTTACTTGGCAGTTTGTGTAGTCAATCTCTGGGATAGGCAGGTAATCTGAAAAGAGGTTGTATAATTTGGTTCATTGGAAAGAGTAAAAATAACATTGGAAAAGACAATTGATACAAGAAATCCTCTAACATGGATAGAGGAATGAATACGGTCAACTGGTGTTGAGAGAATAAAGGGTTTGATTGAAAAGTTACAGATTATCAACTATGATGCATTTAAGGACTTGAAGGGACAATATTCTAAACATAATGGAGAGGTGGGGAGAATGAAAAGGGCAAGAAAAGTGGAATAATATTAAGTTTTATTTTATTTTTTTTTTCCTCAAACTTATTACTAAGCATCTTTACTATTTCAAGATCTCTGTTAATCTTAAACTAACATAAGCTAAACCAAAATTTTAAGTGTTTGGAATATATAGCTTTCTGTTACTAAGATTTGACATTTTCAAGTGATTAAAAAAATATACCTTAAAAATTGATTGTATTAGAACATGTGCACACAGGCATATATATATATATATATATATATATATATATATATATATATATATGGCAGATAGTTTGATATAGCAAAAATAAGTGATCAGATTGTGTATAGCTTTAGCCATTATGGCTAATTAGATATTACAACATCTCTTTCAATACTGTACATTACATAGTTTGTCACATGGAATTAAGTGCAGATGTACAAATGTTTTCACATATACTAACAGTTGATAGCATTGGCAGCCTCTGTGTGTCTGCATTTTGTTTGTGTATTTTTATTTTTAATATTTTTCTTAAATTCTTCAGTTTCTTTGTTTAGACAAGTGCTTTCTTAATTGTTGCAAGGATTTACAAATATTGTAAAGAATTGAGAATAATTCTGTATTTTGATATTCTTTCAAGCTGAAGGTTTAAATATATTTTGCATATTTCTCTGTAGAATTGCTTCATTGAGTGATGTCTATTGAATTTAAATATTAAAGTGCTAATACATAAGTCTTATTTTTTACTTTTATATGGAGGAAAGTTAAAAAAAAAAAAATAACTAGTAGAATTAATTAGGTCATAAAATTATTACTGTTTTATTCAGTCTAACATAAATTTATGGAGCTTTTGTAGGCTCAAAATTACTAGCAATATTAAAAGACTGGAATATTTTGATTAGATGTTTCCAGTGTTTGATTTTTTTTTTTTTTTTTTTGTTTTTTTTTGTTAATACTTTTTCTATATTGAATCAAAGACTATTACATAGTAATTTTATACTTAAAAGCAAAAATAATTGAACATTTTTATAGTAATTTTTTTTCCATTTGAAAGTACTTATGTATTGCTGTATTTCATTTTATTATTTTTTTAATGAGAAACTCAC